CCCCCGCCCGATGAGGCACTAAGTGGTGATAAAATGATGATAAACTCCAAACCTGACTTCACACAATTCGCCATTGTTATTCGACCGTTGGTATTCGGCCTCCGTAATAGACAAAGAATTTCTGTCGCAGATCGTCACGTATGGCGAGATAAACTTGGCGACATCGTCAAGGCTGACCAGATTAGGCATGATCACGGTTGTACCAAGTATAAGTAAGAAATGATTTTCAACCAGCCCCGAGTATAAAACTAGATCGAAGACACTAATCATACCGAACCGAGGGATTTCTTATTGCGTATAATGAGCAAAAACCACTGGAAGTTTTAATAAATACCAAAATCGCAGGGGCCTTCTTCTAAAGAAGCCGTGTTGTTATCTCCGAAAAGTTTTCGTGGATGTGGGATGGTGGTGGTGGCCTATGCGCTAAAGTGGTTTGTTGGAATTTCATGACCATTCACCTGTTAAATCACGAAGTGTATACTAACTTTTCATAAATATGTACTGAAAGACGGGCATCCCAAGAAATATAAATTGAAGGAAAGGGATTCTTTGGGAAATTCGGCAAACGCGTTGCTCCGTAAATTTCTAACGTGGGTTGCTCCAGATCGTCGTCAGACGTACGATATGTGCGCAAAACAGTTAACATTTTAAAATGCCAAAAATCGATATTGTTTTTACCATTCCTACCAATAGGTTGGTGGCATGGACTGACATCCTGTTCAGACTGGCTCTAACCTTTTACACTGGTTTTTGAAATTAAAGTAGATTAGGGCTAAGGCTGCGTTTAGGGATTGGTTAGAGTTCATGTTAGAGTTAGGACCATGGGATAGGTAACCTTCCGAGTATTTAGCGCAAAGCCACAGGTGGTGGTGGCCGTTCCTATTCCCGTTTCCTGCCAAGTGAGGGAGATCGCGTAAGCTAAGTTATGGGGACGGGAACTGAAATGCGCTCACGGCCTAAGGCAAGAAGATCACGTGACAACAGTCTCCGCAACCAGCTGAGTCATATGCGCGGACAACCAGCTGGCGTTATTGCTTCGAGCACGCGTGACGTTTTCTGCTCACGTCTGCGGCCCAAATTATGATGGAACTTCCGCTAGGGTAGCAGAGCGTGGAAAACGGCCAATCAGTGTGCAGACAAGGATATTCCGCCAGAACGGCCAGAGCTGCATAAATAAGCTGACAGGCTGGCATGCTGAAATCCACTTTTCTTTTATCCTAACACTTACCATGCCATCTACTGTACTTTTTGCAATTAAATTTTCAGTCAGGCATGGAATTCACCGGGAAAAAAACAGGGAAATTGGAAAAAGACACAGGAGTGGCAACCAACTTACCGGCACGGGGCCATTGGTGACTTCAACTGACTTGGCCTTCTCCTCTTGCGCCAACTCTTCATCCGGCTTGGCCGCCTCAGCCTTCATCTTCTCCAGCGCGCGTCT